CACACACACACACACACACTCACACACACACACAGCAGTGTAGTTGCCAGGTGTGACGGGGACAATCGACGTTTTTTACGTAAGATGGATGATGAGACGTGAGCCCTCCTCCTGACGTCATCACGTCGGTCCACAGTCTTGAGCTGAAGACGTGACGTTGACGGCGGATCCTCATCACAGACGGTGTATTATTATATATAATATCATATATATACATATACTAGAAGATAGTATAGAAGTATATATCTCCGTTAGTCGTCTCGTGCTGAAACACGAAGGTAAGTCACAGAAAAACAAACTCAGACGCCATCTTTGTCTGGAGCGAACATTAACCGCGACATTTCGACACAAACTGCGTGTTTGTGGCACCAAAACCTGCGCGTGTTGTTGTTCATGTCGTGAATCAGACATTACGTTCGCTGTCTACGTCATAAACGTCACCGTGACTCGGTGTCTTAACGTTTCTGAGCTGAAGCTCCGGTGAACGTGACATGAACACAGACCGTGAACGTCTCACGGTGCAGCTGAAGTTCTGTGGTGCCTTCACGGAACATCTGTTCACAACAACAACAGTGAGTCCTACATTTCCCATCATGCGTCTGTCACCTTTTCACCCTCTAAATAAATAATGACACTCAGGGTACATTACTGAGTGTGATGGAGTGTTTCACTCAAAAGGCTTCATTTTATTTTCAAGTGAAAACTATTAAATGAAAATATTCAAATACTGATTCCTCATCAATAAACGAGTAACGATATGTGTATACCATATATTTTCAGTACTTTAACTTGTGTAGGTTTTTATCATCTTCTAAAATGATCAATCCATTGTGAGCAGTGACTTGGTTTCACTCTGAGGAGAATTTGAATCTGTCCAACAACCTTCACTTCAATCAATCAATCAAATGTATTTATATAGCGCGTTATCACAAGCAGTTGTCTCAGGGTGCTGCACAAAAGTCCAAGATCTTAAGAAACACAAAGTCCAACTTGTTCCACTCCGAGCAAGCATGAGCAACAGCGGGGAGGAAAAACTCCCAGGTGGAAGACACCTCCGGCAGAACCGGGCTCGGTGTGGACGGCCTCTGCCAGGACCGGTTGGGGTGATGGAGAAAGAACAAGTAATACAGAGGAACAAAAGGAAATGAAGGGGGGGGGGGTGGAGTCAGTGTCAGGTCAGGGGCTTGAATCCAGCCCGGGAATCTCCACATGGACGTTTGCATGATCTTCCAAGGGTGCGTTGGTCCCCCCGGGCACTCCGGCCTCCCTCATGGTCCAACATGCGCAGTAGTAGGACCGATGGCTCCAGAGGTGAGAGGTCCTCAGGTGAGAGTGCTGGTGGTTGCGTGACCCTGCATGTCAACCCTGCGACAGACCGGTGACTTCACTAGGTCCATCCCTCACCAGGACCCGAGCCAGGACGGGCTCCGGAGAGCTGCACAGTATGGACCAAGGAGGGGAGGAGAAGACCCAAGGAGGGGAGGAGAAGACCCAAGGAGTTAGAGATATGTAATAAGATATAACAAAATAAACAGAGAGTGAAGAAGAGAGAAGGGGCTGGTTTCTGGTGCCTGATGGGTAATCCCCCAGCAGTGTAGGCCTATAGCAGCATAGCTATGGATGACTATGCTTCAGGGTTGAGCTAAAAGCTTTATCAGAAAGGAAGGTTTTAAGTCTAGCCTTAAATGTAGAGACTGTGTCTGCCTCCCTCACTGAGAGTGGGAGCTGGTTCCACAGGAGAGGAGCTTGGTGACTAAAMGTTCTACCACCCATTCTACTCTCAGTAACTCTAGGCACTACAAGGAGTCCAGAGGTCAGGGAGCGAAGTGSTCTGTGGGGCAGTCAGGGGTTAAGAGCTCCTTAATGTAGGATGGGGCCTGATTGTTCAGGGCCTTGTAGGTCAGTAGGAGGATTYTGAAATCTATCCTCTGTTGAACAGAGAGCCAGTGAAGTGAAGCTAAGGAGTAATGTGATCCCGTCTTCTGGTTCCTGTCAGTACTCGTGCAGCAGCGTTCTGCATGAGCTGAAGGGTTCTTAAGGATCTGCTGGGACACCCTGATAACTGGGAGTTGCAGTAGTCTAGCCTCGACGTAATAAAGCCATGAATCAGTTTTTCAGAATCCTGTTTTGACAGGATGTGTCTGATTCTCTTGATATTACACAGTTGAGAGAAAGCTATTCTGGAGGTTTGACTAATTTGTTGGGTAAATGACACTCCTCTCTTCTCCACCTCCTTTGTGTTTGTTACTGTTGTTTTCAGAGACGATGGCGGAGCAGAACACGGAGGCGAAGCTGAAGAACCTGCTGAAGCAGGAGAAGATCCAGCTCTGGAATCCTCCTTACACCATCGATGACGAGCAGCTCGGCCCGCAGCACATGCAGGTCGTCAATAAACTCACAGTAACACATTAAAGTCACTGAGCTGCTCAGATGTGACACTGATACACAACATCACACTATATAAAAACATCAACTCATTCATTAAATGAATTATATAAAAAGCAATGTTAATAAATCCTAACAGATAAAAACGGATGTTACCTGTGGTGGGCATTGCATTTTGTCCCCTAGTGAGGAATTGAACAAGTACACTGAACGATTAAATCAACCCTCAAACGAGTTTCAAGGCATTTAATACTGGTCCAGAAGCAAAATTACACAGGGTGTATGAAACACAAACAAAGTTCCAGTGTCACTATTTGGCCTAAAGTGGACAGAGTTCTTAAAGCCACGACTGGCTCAAGAATCTGACAAATGTCTCTTATGATGAGCTGGCTTTTATACACAAAGCTGGAAACACCCAGCTGTCCTCAGTCACGCCATCGATGCAGGATCACGCGTCCTGCAACCTGCTGATAGTGGAAGAGGTGGACGTTGATCTCTCTTTCCTGAGTGTACAGCACAAAAACATTTCCCCGGTATTACACCAAGCAAACATTCCTAGTAGAGGATTAAATGCTGATTCAGGCTGTTTTATCTGAACTCACAGATTCAGGTCAAACAGTGAGATCGATGTCCATTAGATTATCCATCAAAATACAACGGAAACATTTAAAGCTTTATTCTGTTTTATCACATGAAAAGTTATAACCTCTACAATTATTTTAATTTGAATTATTTTAACAATTTGGATATTGATAAATATCATTAATTCACCAAATAAGTTTCAAGTAAAAAAAACATTCATAAATAATAACAACGAATAGAACAACGGTTAAACAATATAATATATTTTCTATATTTCAGATTTTACAGTGTTATTAACTGTCATGGTGATTTCTTTACATCAGGAGCTTGCGGAGCGTTTCGCCCCCCTGCTGTGTCTGCAGGTGTCGGAGGTTGGGGGGGCTCTAGAGTCCATCAGAGTTCAGACAGTGAAGCGGAGCAAAGAAAACAAGACGTACAGGGAGACCAACGTGGCGACGCTTGAGCTGCTGCTGCCCAGAGAGAGCAGGAAGGTACTGTTGCTATGGTTACGCCTCTGTTCTCGAGCCTTTGAATCAGAGACTAAACGCTGCACGTCCCGTTTAGGGTGAAACCCCGTGGGTTGTGTTTAGTAGTTCTCTGATTGGTTCTTATCAGTCACATGACTCCATCCATCATTCACGGCCGCAACAACATCTTAAACTGCTTCATTCAAACATATAAATCTTTATTGTCCAACACACCATCTGTAAAATGTGTGTTTGTTTTTCTGGATCCAAAGTCAAAGAAGAACTACCTGGAGGCAAGGCTGGATGTGTGTGTCCAGGAGGTGGTGGACAGGTACACACACGCACACACACACACACACACACACACACACACACACACACACACACACACAGTGTGCAGCTATGCTGAGTGTGTTTGTTTCTCTGTCACAGAATCTGTGAAGAGTTCGGCCTCAGATGCATCAAACTGATCCTGAACGGTCAAACTCTGAGTCCACGTGAGTTCACACACAAAACTCTTAGATGTTGATGAAAATATAAAAATGAGTGAACCTCATCGGTGTGTGTGTGTGTGTGTGTGTGTGTGTGTTCTGTCCCGTCAGACAAGCGTCTGGACGAGCAGGGGGTGAAGAACCACAGTAAAGTGATGGTGCTGAAGGTGAGCGACGCCGAGCTGAAGCAACTGATGAGTGAAGAGGAGCAGAGGAAGAAGCAACAGAGCGAGAGTCTCCAGAGGACACAGAAAGGTTTCCAGATCCTGTCCGAGAGAGGTGAATCAGTGGAGGACGCTCTGCTGTGTCCTCACTTCTGCTCGATTTAGACATTATACAGGAGTGAAGGAGGAGACAGACAAACTGAGTCTCACTCTGACATTAGAGTTTGTCCTCCAGAGAAGATCCAGAGAACTGCTCTAGAAATCAGTTGAGAAGTTTTTGAGTAAACACAAAGTCCTTGTGATGAAGAAGTATTATAATAAATAAAACACAAGTGACAATATGAAACAATCCTCTCTCTCCTTGATTATCTGTTCTCGTCTCAGATGGCAGTGAGGACATCGGTAACGTGCCGTTCCTGGAGATCGCCGACCAGAAGGGAAACCCTCTGAAGATCCCTCACAAGGAGAGGAGGGTACACAGATTTTTATTTAATCAATCAATCATCACATTTTATTTGTCTCATATTCAGATTGTCTCATATTCAGTTTGTCTCATATTCAGTTTGTCTCACATTCAGTTTGTCTCATATTCAGTTTGTCTCATATTCAG